GGGTCCCAGTTGGTTTCTGTCTGATGCTACCATTGCAGTTCCCATGTCTGCAATATGGACCACAACAGAATTAGCACCCAACAAAGAACTCTGACTACAGGTAGCAGGGATAGACAGTGTATTCACTGTGCAGTGGAACCACCCTCTTTGGGAAGCTCTGTGTGATTATGCACTTATAATTAACAGTAGTTAATATGCTATCACTGATGTAGAGGCTCACAAAAATACATAATGACATGGAAGGCTCTAAGGGTTCCAATGCAGGGAGGTTAAAGAAGCTTTTCACGGTGCTGAACATACTGTCATAAAGGCAGAATGGCCTACAATATGTATGCTTATGGCAGAGCCATTCTCTTAGGATCAGATCCATTAGACCTCAGCCATAACTCATCATAGCTAATCACTGCTGGCTCCTTTTGCCTCCTTAGGTGGGCTGCCTCTTCACCTGCCCACTCCAGGTGTATAAACCATGCAAGAAGTCTCCTTCTGCTCCTCTGGTTTAGCTGGGGCAAGGCAAGGGCAGGAGGAGCAGTAATGAAGAGGAGATGAGGCTTCCTAACCAGGGGCTTCAAGCACCGCTTTCCCCTGGAAACCTTGGAGCAGATCCAGGGTTTTTGCATAGGTTTTTCCATGTGTCAAAATGAAGTAGGAATCCAAACTAGGAATGGAAGAATGCTGGCCTGCTGCCCAGGAGAGCTTACAACATGGCTTCTCCTCAATCTCGCCCACCTCAATTTTCAGTTTTGCCTTACCCTCCCTGCTTCCTTTGGTAGCACCTCGGCTTTGCCCACCCAACAGTTTCTAACACTACCTCCTCCTATTCCTGCTGGGAGAAATTATTTTAGAACAACTTAGCTATTATCATTGCAGCTGCTTAGTCTTTTTTCCCATATAAATAACCCATGAAATGCTAACATGGATCGTATTTAATGTCTTGAAAGTAACAGTTGGGCTATTTTAAGCTATGGGCTGCTTGGAAGCTGAGGATGAAACTCTCCTATCTCAGGTGACTGGAAAATCAGTGGAATTGCAATTATTACAAAAAACAAAACAAAACCATAAAGCAAAGAAAGGAATAGGAATCTTGGAAAGAAAAAAAAATAATACAATTTTGAAACATGTTGGATTTTGAACCAGTAATGTTCAAAGAGTTATACCGACTGTAGTACTACAACAGTTCTGGTAAAAATGAGTCAAAGAGCCCTTAGGAACAAATACAGTATATATTTATATATTGGACAGGCCTTTTTAAGCTGGTTTAGAGTCAAGCTGGCATGAGTATAGGACAGGAACAGCTCAAACAGTAAGCACAGATATGCCCTTAATTACAATGAGGCATGTAGAAAAGTCCCTAGTGGATTACCCACCAACTGAATCCCATGTTAAAGATTTTTGCATTTTCCATTTCATATGCTAAAACATCTTTAGTCAGATTTGCTGACATCACTCTATTTTAACAGCACGAGGATTAATATTTTTAAAGGTTAGAGAACGCTATTGGAAGGAAGAATCCCCATCTTCTGCAAACACATATCAAGGGAAGAGAACAACAGAAATAGAAAAGGTAAACATCTAAGCACCTAACCAGTTATTCGCTTTCCCTCCCAAGGTTTATATAGACATGATTTTTTCTTTATTTCCAGTGATGGGCAATCTTAGTATTATTTCTGCATGCCTTTTTCTTGCTTTACTTTATAAGCTATGGCATTATTCATTCCAACTCCCCTTTAATTTCGATGTGGGGGGGGGGGATTAGGTCTTATGCATTGCCAAATTAAGAGCAGCTTTGTGTGCACACATTAAAATATGACATTTATAAACAAGCTGAAAAGAGCTCAATGGACTGATTTCTTCATATCAAACTCAGAAAAACAGGAAAGAGTTATGTTACCTTTTTTCTTGGTTACTAGACATGCCTGGGTGCTCTATGGTTTCCACTAGGAGTCTTGATAGTCAAGTTCTAACTCTGTGCTATTGATACAATTAATAAAATATAGAGCTTTATAGTTCTTAACTACTAGGTGAAGATCCCTTTGCCCCAAACAAGCAGAAGGAATTACTAACTTCATATTAATACATAAAAATAAACTACAAAGTTATTTCACTTCAGTAAGAAATTTATGCTGGCTTTATTATGGCAATTAATTCTTAATTTAAAAATAGATGTAACTCCATACTTAAATAAATGGCACTTTAAAATAATTTTCTCTATATCATATACTTAAGCAGATGGAAGAATGCAAACATTTTAATTGTTATTAAGTATACTACAAAGAGAGGAGAGGGATAAATGCAAATAATAATGGCAAGCTTCCTTTATTTCTTCCTTAATTAAAGTAATAATAAACAGCCCCACCCCACCCCCACCTCTTCTTTTCAATAGTACAGGGCGCCCATCCTCCTTTGAACACTTGGTGATTCTGAGACTGGAATTCTAAATTCAACAATACAATTTAATACTGAGTGTTCATATTATAGAAGTGATTTGGAATATGAAAGGTGAATTATGCATTTTTCTTCAGAACTTAAGAGGGCCAGCGTGGTGTACTAGTTGAGTTAAAACCCAAAAACACCTGCCTAGCTTCAAATCTCTTAATCCACTCAGATAACCTTGAGCCACTCTTCTCTTTCTCATCCCACAGAGGTGTTGTGAGGCTAAAATTGACAGGAGGACACCTACTAATGATTCAATTAGTTTCCTGGGGAAAGAGCAAGATATAAACATAATAAATGTTTGTACAGAATATCTCATAACTATGTAATCTAGTATCTGGGAAGATGGGTATAAAGGAACATGCCCCTTGTGGATTTATCAGAGAAGAGCGGCTTTACATTGGAAGCTCAGATATAATTACCGGAGGAGCACCGGATAAAGAAGTTGTGCTTGTCAGAAACTGAAATAATAAAAAGAACAAGTGCGTGCTTCCTTGGGGCCTTGGAACAGATGCCTGTATTTCAAAAAGCAGCTTTTGGTTTTGTTCCGCTTATATAACACAGTTCTGTAGATACTGTACAGAAACGATAAACATACACCCTTATTATTTATTATTTGTTCTAAGCCGTAGAATCCACAGCAGAAAATATAGAACACCCAGGGATAATAATGTTGGCATTGCCAGGAAGAAGCTCTTTATCCTAAGAAGCGTCAGATGGTTCAGGTAGCTGGTCCATGCCTTCAAACAGGAGCAGGCCCCAGGAGGCTTGATGATGAGGCTAGAGTCAGGGCTGAAATGTTTAGCCATGCATATTTAGGGCGCCGCAGTGGCTACATGTGGTTTATAACCTTTGGGTTGCCCATCAGGTGCAAATCTCCACCTGAAACTCTATTCCAAGTACATTCCTAGTTGGAAGGGCACAACTATGCACACTACATAACACCGTCAGCAGTGACACCTCAGCTTTGGAATCCCTTCCTAGAAGATATGCGTTTGGCACTTACTTTACAATGCTTTTGGAGGCCACACTTATTGCAAGCCAATGTTTTCATTGGGAGCATCAGGACAGGCAGGTCTGATCCAGTAACTGTGGTGGGAAAATCAGAAATAGAATGAAAGAAATGCTACAGAAGGGCAGATGAAGGGGCCTTCTTGGCACAATAGCTAATAGCAAGTAATGTGCTTAAAAATTCAAGAACAGACAGATGGTATGGGTTGTTTACATACTACAGTGCATTAGTGGTGCTAAGGAATTACCTTTCTGCAGTAGGCAATAAATTAAATTAATCAGAGATTCCACACATACTCTTAATACAAAAGGAACAACACTTGCCGCTATCAGGAAAGTCTCATCATGTTTGTGCACAAAAAGGTTCTGTTTAGTGAAAGTTCCTAGCAATATAAATGAATGATTTCCTCTTTTAATTCCTCAATAGCTAGTTTCCTGTGATGGGGGGAGGACATAATTCCACAATATTTTTTTAAAGACAAAAACCAGCTAACAAACCCCACCAATGCATTTTTGTTCTGCTGTCAAAACAGAGACGGCACTGGGTTGACAAGAAGCTTATTCAGAAGGCCATTAATAGCTTTTCACTTATCTCCCATCCATTCTCATTATGGAGCAATCAAGCACACCGCACCTGCAGCCAGGAAATATTTAATGGGAGGCACGAGACCCTATCAAAGCTTCAGTTATGGTTAGCCTGTCCTTACTAGACAGACTAGTCTTGCAATTGTTTAATTGAAATAGCCATGGCTTGTTTGTTTATGGCTATGTTCTCTGATTAACTCTGGACAGAAGTTTTTCTTCTGTATCAGTTAACTATAAACAAGCAATGGGTCTCAAAGGGAAGTGGGTGGGTGGAACTAATGCCTATGAGTGGCACAATTGGATTAACCAGGTCCTGCAGTTCAGTATGATACTTGAACACAATTAAAAAGAGATGAACAAGGGATGGCAGTTCTAGAGAAAAGGTTAATCTGAAAACCACCTGAGGAAACTGAGTGTGGTGTGCTGTTTGTTACTGACTCGTATCTAATTCTCCATCCTGCTTTCGCTTCCTATATGTTTATTCCCATAACGCATAAAGACCTCATCATCACCCCCCTCAAAAAAAAAGTGATACTGAGGATTGCCCTTTTGGAAGTCCCATCAGATCACATGAAGAAGAAAAGAACAGGAGTTGGGAAGGAAGGGAAGACACACAGCATCCTGCCTCTTGGTATCAAGCATGCTTACTAATAAATATCTGTATGCAACTGTTTGTGTCAAGATACAAGGGAGACATGTTAAAATTATTATGATGCTAGTAACTTTCATCCTCTTGTTCCTCCCCTGGCCTTTGCTTGCATGACACTGCCCCAATCACCATGCACCAAGGGGCTCCATGGAGGCCCAGCCTGGCAGGTTGAACCTGAGCTCATTCTTGCTTTGGTCGGGTCCGCAGTGATGATGGAAGGACATGACACAAAGGGATCCACAATAACTCTTCTGTTGCGCCAGGAGTGGCACTGCAGGAGGATGGGACTAAAGAAAGGGCTGCCACGTCTCTGGGACTCCCTTGAAGATTCAGCATTGGAGCTCATTATGAGGACATCAGGCCCTATTCCTTCTAGTGCACTCAGTCACAAGTTCACCAGTGGAATCCTGGGTGAGAAAGAAGTAGAGACGGAGGGGGATAAAATTAGAGGCTTATATAAAAAACATTCCCAGTTCTTCGATGGTAAGAATGATCTGATCTCTTGCAGTGCTATCATAGCCTGGATGAGATTATTCCTAAAATCTCCTTAGTTCTTTTTAAATGGGGTAGCATGTAAATCATTACACTGTGCCAAAATGCTTTTCCAATAGATAACCTTTAAATCAATTTACATTATCAAACCTTCAGTTCATGCTTTCTCATTGCAGCATCTATTGTCTCCCATTTGTTGGAAGGGAGCCCCTATGGACAGGGGTCTTTAGAAGGAAGAAGGATATAAAAGTACCCATGGGACAGGGTCAGAGCCTATGCACGTATAGCAGGCATGGTCCTTTCTACCAATGTTATTCCCAACTTGTGTGCAAGAGGAAGACCCAGCACACCACATGGGATGGCAGGATGGAGAGGTCTTCCCTTTGATTACAATAGCAAGGAATGGAATATCCTGATTAGAGAAATATCTCCTGAGATACCAAGGGTGGAAAAATTAAAAACAAGTAAAATAGAAATTGGTTGCCAGAAGAAATCCTTTATCAAAAATACTCTCATATAATATGGATGTCTGTCTAACTTGTGTCTCTACTTGTTAATATTTGATTCTCGCTGATTAACTGTAGTTTTTGATGGAGATCCAGCTGCTGTTGCACACTTAGTTTACTAAGTGTACAACAGCACTGGATCTCCATCAAAAACTACCATATAACCAAGACACCCTTAGAAGTGGTGCTTCTGTTGAAGGAACTTCATATTTTCCAGTATCACATGTATTACTGTATTAGCAGTCTTCAGCCTTCAGCCCAACATACAGTATATTAAAGGTCTAAGTAATTTTGTTACCATATATTTGCATGGTGGCAATTAATTTACTACAATTTGGCTTAAGGATCCCAACCCACTATTTGGAAACTAATGCATTGTATTTATATATTATTGTATTGGAAAAAAATGCAGTTCACTCAAGTAATGTAAGTCTTGCTACCTCTGTGGTCCTGCCTGTCCCACAAGCATATTGGACTCTGTTGTGATATGAATGGTGACAAATAGCAAGATTTCACTTCTGTTATTTGTAAAGGTCCTAATTGTTTTTTTAAGGATTATCTTTTGTTATTTCTAGTGAGGATCGTTTTTAAAAGTAGTAACATAAAAGTACTGCTTTTCCTGCACCAACAATGGGACCTGCAACTTCCACCAACAATGGGACCTGCAACTTTTATCATTGCCACGTTGCCTGAGGTTACTGGGAACTATAGTTCATCTAGGGACATGGCCTATCCCAAGCCTATAGCAGCGATGCATTATTTCAGGACATGTGAAAAGTGGAAAGAAAGAGAAGAGGACCACCAGCAACATGGTGGATAGACTCAGTTACAGTGGCAGTGAGTGGACTGTTGGAAGACCTGAAAGGCCAGGTTAGGCATAGATCATCATGAAGAAAATCTGTCTATTTGGCTGCTACGAGTCAACAACTTGATGGCACATAATCAGTCAACTGCTTTTTAACTATTTTCATTGAGGTTTCTGAAGTCTTTGTATTTCTATTTTTGGTTTATACATATAGTACTTCAGGTTGTACACGTGCAAGAATAGAAGGTCAACCTTCCCTCTCCCCAATGCCATTAATTCTTGAATGGGTATTTGCTAATGTTTTATAACTAAAATGGAACTGGAACACAGTGACAAAGCATATTACGTACAGATTATACAACTGAAGCTCTCAATCTACAGCTTGTCCTCTCTAGGGCATGGTTTTTCAACCTCAGGATTCTGTGACAGATTAGAGCAGTGTTGTCCAAACTTGACCACTTTAAGATGAGTGGACTTCAACTCCCACGAATACCCCAGCCACTGCTGTACC